CTGCGTCTTCACGGACACCAGTGACCTGTTTTGGGGCGCGGTCGCCACACAAGTACCGCCAACGGACCTCGACTTGCCTCTCGAAGACCAGCGGCACCAGCCTCTTGCGTTCATCAGTGGATCGTTTTCTGGCGCGAGTGCGCGCTGGCCCATCGTGGAGAAGGAGGCCTATGCCGTGGTCGAGTCGTGCAAGAGACTCGACTACCTGGTCGTACGCCCTCGTAGTTTCCGTCTGTTTACGGATCACCGCAACCTGGTGTTAATCTTCAACCCAAGTGGCTCGAACGCCAACATGGCCAAGTACCAGGCCGACAAGCTGCAGCGATGGTCGATGGTGATGTCGACCTTCCCGTACACCATTGAGTGCGTCTCGGGTGACGCGAACGTGTGGGGTGACCTCCTGAGCCGATGGGGTTCGGCTCCGACGGATCAACCAGTTGCGAATGTTCGCAAGTTGATCCATGTGGTGTCGCTCCTGCAACAAGTGGATTTCGACTGGCCGACAGCCGCGACGATCAGCGACATCCAACGTTCAAACATGGATGGGGGAGGACCCCCCAAACGGCGTGGATTGGGACGACGATTCCCATTTTTACGTGGACCCAGATGGACGAATCTGGATCCCAGACGGTGCTGTTGACCTACAGCAACGGATTTGTGTGATCGCTTACCAAGGAGCCAGCGGTCACCGTCGCATCGCAGCGACGACCAAGTCGGTGTCGAACAAGTTTGTGTGGAAGACGCTTTCAACGGACGTCGAAGCATTCGTGCGTGCCTGTTTGCACTGCCTGTGCATTGACGGAGAAATGGTTCCCCGTCCATTGGGTTCGGCACTTCACGCGGAGAAGCCGAACGAGCTCATCCATTTCGATTGGTTGTCGATGCCCATGGCCAAGTCCGGCCAAAAGCAAGTGCTTGTCATGAAGGACAACATGAGTGGCTTTGTGCAGCTGTTCGCGGCAGAGTCCGCTGACGCCGCCACGACCGCTCAGTGCCTGATGACGTGGTTTACCACGTTCGGCTGCGTTGACACATGGGTGTCAGATGGCGGTTCTCACTTCAAGAACGAAGTGATCGAGAAGGTGCGGAAGTTGGTGGGTGACCACCATCATATCACAACAGCCTACAGTCCTTGGGCGAACGGGACTGTAGAAGTAGTCAACCGACTAGTGCTGCGCGCCGTGAAGGCGCTGCTCAGCGAAATGAAGCTGAACGCGGACGAATGGCCGCATGTGTTGCCCCTCGTTCAAGGCGCCCTCAACCATCAGCTGGTGGACCGGCTGGGAGGAATTGCGCCTGTAACAGCGTTTACCGGCCTGTCAGACAAGACCCCGCTGGCAGGATTTGTCCACCCGACGTCCAAGGAAGTTTACGTCGCGGACTGGCTTGGCGCCGCCCTTCAGAAACATGTGACGGACCTCCAAGTGGCGCTTGAAGAAATGCACCACAACGTGGCGGTGCGAAGCGACAAGTTGCGTCAGCAAGCGCGTGGACGCCGCGACAGAAAATCCCAAGTCAAGATTGCGGGTTTTTCGGTCGGCGATTTTCGGTCGGCGATTTTGTGCTTGTCGGATCGGTCGTCAACCGTCCGACGAAATTGGCACTGCATTGGCGCGGACCCTGCTAAGTGACCAGAGTTATCACAGACCATGTGATGGAGACTCAGCAGCTGGTGCCACCGTATGAAGTCACGGTCCATCACGCGTGCCGATTGAAGATGTACAGACCACGAAGGTGGAAGAGAGGTGACCGAAGACCTCGAGGTGCTGATCGCGTTTGGCGATGGCGGATTTCATGTGGAGCGCCTGGACGAAGCGCGCTGCGTGGATGGCCAACACCAAGTTTTGGTGAAGTGGCTTAGCCTTGACGATGGAGAATCGTCCTGGGAACCTGCGGCGAATTTGCTGGACGACATTCCAGTCGTATTTCGCAAGTGGGCGGCGGCGAACAAGGAAGACCCTGCGGTGGCCGCCCTCATCAAGACACTTGACTTTCCGTAGGAGGAGAAGTGTTCTGCAGCGTGCAGAGCAATTGGGTCGCGCGTTAGTTTGACCCATTGCAAACACACACTCTGTGTGTGTGGCGTGTCAAAGGTTCCGATACCTTAGAGGAGGTACTGAGTACTTAGTGAATGCTAGTCAGTAGGCGCCTCGTGGCGTGTTTAACCTCACTAATGTCAGTGTGTATATTTGCTGCCTTGACGAAGGTCCCGTGGCCGAAAGCCAAGAAGAAGCGGGAGACAAAACAGGATGCGGCAACTGCAAGTTTCAGACGAATTCAAATCCTTATGACTGTGAAATCAATACCCCAACAGTATGTGGCAACAATACCTGTCAGCTGTAGCTTTCTAGTCGCATGTTATGCCTAAGGATATACTACAGTACTACGTAGAACTAGTACCCATTCAATACCCCCACGTAAACACACTACCCCCCAATATCCCCTTTTAGTATATTCACACACCCCAGTGTACAGTATTCACTACCCCTTGAGTGTATTCACTACTCCCTTAATATATTCACCACCACCCAATATTCCCTTTTAGTATATTCACAACCCCTTTAGTATATTCACTACTCCCTTAGTACATACATTACCCCCTGTATATTCACTACCCCCTGTATATTCACTACCCCCTAGTATATTTGCTACACCCATGCGTTTCACTGCGACTCGACCAAACGATTGGTATGTTCGTTCCCTTCTGCAGTTGAGGTCACATAAATATATAGCCTTATGACACGAAGCAATAGATTTTAAGGTGAACTATCATTGCAGAGTAGCTTCAGTTATAGTTATTGAACATGCTGGTACAATATGCAAGGAACGCCCTGTTAGTAGTACGAACTAACTTATATAGTGCTGCGTACTGTACTAACTTAGTAGTACAGCTATGATATGGACCGCGACTGTAACTAACGTTACTCTCCTTCGTGCCCCCTTATTGCTTAGTTATGCCACTATAACCAGTACATTTATCGCCAGCAAAAGTTTACACATTATTGTGAACAGTATCGTCAATGGTTCCCCCAACAGACAACCTTTCCAGCAGAAAGGGATGCAGGGGGTAGTAATGGACCACCCACCTGCATTACACCTCGTTGAACCACTGTCCACGTCAATACCCTGCTGTAGTGATTGGTTGCTTTTGGCCTCCAACACATAGCTCTCCACCAATGCGAGTAGCTGCGGCATTATTTCCGCTTTGAAGTGTTTTGTACACAATTGATTGATTGCTTCCTTCGCAGACACTGGCCGATTGTACTGCACTGCTTGCTCGACCATCTCCAAGATTGGACCATCAGTATCTCACTGCCCAGGTTAGCCAAGAAGGTCTTGGCATGCGTTTCGATGGATCTACAATTGGTTGCACGCTCAGTGTTAACACTGCGACCCACCTGTGCTTTGACACATAATATAGACTTCCACAGTGACAAAACAGCTGACAGGTTGCGATTATTTGCACGAGCTAGCTATACATGTATACTTCGAGCAGAATCGTTACGTCACGTTTGTACTTCATTGCTTGCTGCGGTTGCTTATGACGGGCACTCTGCATGATTTCCTCCTGCTGTCCCAGACCCCACATAGCAAAATGGTATGCCGTCTTTTGACACGAATGAGTGCCGAACGGTCCATCCCGGTTGATCAACTGTGGCACACGTTCTTAAACTGGTTATGTTGTGAAATGTTGACGCCAATATATGGTCATGGGTTTTGCCACCAAACAGGAACCCGCCAGAGCTGATACCAAATGCGCCAATCAGAACAAAGAGATGCCGGATAGGACACAAAACTGGCAACGTCTCATCGGACCACAGCATCAGTGTCACTGGTGCTTTGTCACATTTTCCCTGTACAACGAACGCCATAGCTTCCACAAACCCCAGAGTGTCGACCACAGTCAACTCGTAGCAGATGTCACTACCTTTCAACTGAACCAGCTCGTCGCTCCGAAGAAACAGTTTGATGTATACTAGCACCATGGTACAGGGAACGACGCTGAGTAACGGCGCGGGAATAAAATTTCAAATCAGCCAATAATAATCAGCGATATCGTTACCTCGACTATGATTGGCGGGATTTTTCCCGGCACAATTTAAACAACTTTCCACCCCACTACTTGATAACCTTGAATGTCAGTGCTATCTACAGCCACAGTGCTGCCAACGAAGCCTCGACACAAGATTTCAAGACGGACATACCGGGATTCGTGGAGTGAGCATTGCGCGTCTGTTCAAGGGAGATACTGGGGGGGAGTTGTGTATTCTATGGCTTGTAGTTCCATTGACCCATACCGTATACTTTTTTTCTTTACTTGAATAGAGTATTAAATTATAGTATTTTTATAAGCGGTCATGTCACATTTTGTTGGTCCCCATGGGAGGTGCAAATCCACAGACTATATGTGTCGCGCATTATGTGTAACGTTAGGCATTTTTATGACCTTGATCCCTTGTGTTAATTAGTTTCCTGCAAGAATGAGAACT